AGCCATTGGTCCTTGCTGCGTCTCTCGCTGTCGCTTTCATCCCGTCCTATCAATTGCGCCCGACTGCCACTTGAGATCGCTCGTCAGAGGGGTAGGTTACGCATATCACTGGCAGTGGTTCGGGATCTGCGTGTACCTCTCCCCTGCGGCTTTATGAATTATGTGACTACTGCGTAAAATGTTTTCATTTGACAATGCCGTGACGCAGCAATTTCTTGTTGTTGTTTTTTTTGTTTTGTTTTTTTGACAATTGCCGGAGATTCCAGTCCTGTTGCTGCGTTTTTTGTGTTTTCATTAAATACACGTTGGATATAGTCTCGTCTGTAGTAGATGTGAGGCACTTGAAAAGGTATTCATGGAAATTCTGCTTTTGTGCCTTTCATGTTTATAGAGGACCAGAAATGTGCTGTTGTTCCAAATTTAATTAAACAAACTGCCAAAAGCAACACATGGGATATTTTTATGTAAACAAGCGGCAATCGGATGGGAAACTAGTTTCGGGCCTAAGGGGAGGTAAACTGTTCACCGGTCGTGATAAATAAAATTAGTTGAATAAATTTGTGCTCGGTATGCACATCAAGTGGGAAATTAGACAATAAGGTATTGAATAAAAGATGAACAACAATTCAAGCAGCATATGTACAAATTTCTCTTAACGATATTATTTTAAGCCTTTCAAGAGCACCCATGATAGCTCATAACAATGACACAGACTCTTACATCCGCATATAAGAGACTTCTTCCTATTCAGCAATTATAAGAATAGACTTTGGTAAAGGGAAAAGAGGCAGCTCAGCATGGGTATATTTATAATTCAATGATCAACTGATCTCTTCTTGTGGGAAATTAGTGTTTTTTTTATGGAATATAGTAGGCCAGGGACACTTTTCATAATATTTGCCAATACTCATTTAAAGATCAGTTTATTAAACGCACTCGGTCGACGGATTCACTGTTAAAGTTTATTGTACAGAGAAAGTTTATCGTAGTGAGAAGATGAAGAGATTGAAGAACAAGAAACCTTACTTCAAACACAGCTCGCTTCATATGCAAATCAGCTTGCAAGGATCTCTTAACTGAATTTTCAGCCACAGTCAATTAAGCGCAATTAATTGAAAAAAATATTTATTGTTAATCCCTTACAAAAAGCGGAGATGCAATAAATAATTAATTACACTACTCTTTTAAACTTTCAGAATGTGAAACGTATTTTCAATGGAATTGTTTTCATTTTTCTTCTTTTATTCAACATCTCATGTGTAAATTTCCTTAGTGAATAAATCTGAGGATTGGCAGAATTCCATTTAATTTTTGGAAGCACTCTGCTTTTTATCCTTTTGAAGAGCAACAATATATTTAATATTTAAGTTTTTAACAGAACAATATAATTTTATTCTACAAGTATTGGTTATAATTTAAATTTAAGTTGAATTTTGTTTCGCAGGGGATGAAATCCAAACAGATACGGAACCTGTTAAATGAAAACTGTTAAGAAATAATTTCCTGACCTGCGAGTGCGGAATCTAAATAATCGACTCAAATAAGTATTATTAAATTAAAATGTTAATTTATGCGTAGATCATTGTTTGAACTAAAGTTCTCGTAATAAAGTTGAGCGCATATTTGAAGAATATCGCTTGGAATATGTCTGCACCACTTAAATGGCCCAATAGTTTAATTTAACTTTGCATCGTAAATACAATTAATAATTATTATCATCTCACTTTTAATTTGAAACACTTTATACAAAAAACTGTCTAAAGTTAGCTCTGCAGAATTAACTTATTAGTCATGTTGAAGGCAACATCGAGTCCTACTACTTAAAAGTCAATATACAACTATAAATTTTTCTTTGATTGACTAGAGTTGTGGTGCCTTCCAAGCTTTAGATAAGGATTTGTATTTGTGCATCAAATTTGTAAAAAATTTGTAGAAATAACATTTTTCAGCCTTTTCTGTTGATTTATAGTTTTGCAAAGTGTAATGAACACGTTGTTAGGTAAAAGAATCATGGCCTGTTAACCAACTTGTGATTGCTGTTCATTTCACGTTTTCAATCAAAATTGAGTATTGCATTTAGGTTTTTAATTGCTGCTCTGATGGTAAAATAATTAGAACACGAAACTCTTCTCATTCATTCATATTTCTGTTTCTATTTAACTAATTTGAATGAAATATGCACGAATCCGAAACCATATTTGCACAGCTCGTTTTTTTTCTGTTTCCATTTGATTGTTTGCCTGAGCACATACATTTCACGATATCGAAAATATTTTCGTGTTTATTCCTTATCGTATTCCACTTGCAATTTTTATCGTTTTTCCTTACAATTTTTTGCTCAACATTTGTTGTTGGCTTCTCCCATAACTGAGCTATGCAGGTATTTGCACTCCTCACTGAACATATTTGCAGAATTAAATGCATTGCATATGCATTTCTCGCTATTGTTTGCCATTTTTGTTGGACCCCTTTCTGTTTTCTGTGGATGGACAGATGTAAAAACTACAAAAACCGAAATTGTTGTAATATATTGGAATGTGTATTGTTGTGCAATTTTTTATAGTTCATTTTTTTGTATAAATACTTGAACATTTTATTCGTAAAAAATTGCATTTATACAAGTATTTTCCTTGTTCATGGATGCGTGCCAAATGCAACAACAAAATAAAAAGACTACTCCTAGACTTTTGAATGACTGTACAATATTGTTAGATTATTAAAAAGGGTAAATATAACTTTCTCAAATTACTAATGAATATTTTGCCTCTCAATGGAGCACACAATACAAGTAATCTGATACATCAAATATGCTTTTGTAAATTTGAAAAATATGTTCGATGCTTTTGAAAGTATCCGCCATTTATTAGAAATTATAGTACCATGAATAGCAGAGAAGCTTTGCCCTCCCCCTTACCACTCACAGAACTCACACAACTCACACCTCCCATTGGTCCACAAGTGTACTTCAATTGGCATTTGCGCACGAAACAGACAAAACAATTGCCGAGATTTCTGAGATACTTTTTCAGTTGTTTTTCAGCAACTATGCAAAAGGAAGGAAAGAAACCGGTGTGGACTACACACAACACCACACAACACAACACAACACCACACCACTCCACACCACTTCACTCGACTCGACTGGTTTGCTAGTTGAGAGCTGTAGTGGTTTGCTAAATGGGACTGGGAATGGGTGCTGCGTGCCTTTTAGGATTGCTATTTCAATTGAAATTTGCTTATTGCAAAATGTTGTTCTGTTTTCGTAGATATTTTTGACTGTGTACATAGAAATATATATGTATATGTGTCTGTGTCTGAATGTGTGTGCGTGTGTTGTGGGGAAGAGGTTAAAGAATTTCTAGTGTGTTGCAAATTGGCGGTAGTGTGCGTGTGTGTGTGTGTGTGTGCATAGGCGACGCTCAAAAATATGCTGTGAATTTTGTAATAAAGTTGCCAAGTATTTTGGAAAGAAAGAGAGAGGGAGATACACGGAACATTCTGGCGTAGTCAGGGGCCACCTGAGAATTGAGCTTCTGCAGATAACCACTGACCAAATAAAGTACGAATTAAACTACAAGACTGTCACCACGACTTCTGGCCGGAAAAAAAAAGATGCCAAATTATGCTACGAAACTGTACGGAAATCGATGCAATTTAAGATGCTACCTAAATTTTTACTTCTCCCGTCATACTGATGAAGAATATATGTAAGTATTTACATATTCTTTGTGAAGTCTTTAGCATATAGGAAAGGTAGACAAAAATGAATAATTGTGACAAAATTATAATCATCAGGGAACGGCTTTTGATAATCCCACAATATAAGTATAACTAATTCGAACTGATTTTCCTTATTCTCATTGAGATCGATCACTTGGAAGTGCATCGTAATTCGTCTCTCTTTATCAAAAGAATATAGAACATTAAAATACGTTCTACTATAGTTATATGGGTTCTCCTTATAGGCTACGTTTTCTTCGTTTAAAGGCAACCGCACTACGTTGATATCCTTGTGAATTTTGGCCGGCACCTTAACTTTGCTATGGACATGGGGATTATCAAATGCGAGAGACTTAAATGACTGCAAATAGCTAAGATAATTGCACTATGGGAACCGCCTATAATTGAGACGGATAGACCCAAATAGAGAAGCGGAAGAGTCAGGCATCTTATTGCTTTGAATTGTAGAAATAAACTGAAGAGCCACATCTAGATATTAAATAAAAACCATTTATCGTTTGATAAAAACTATCACATTTGCTTAGTTATCTATTGTATTAACATAATGAATTTGGTGACTCACTGGTAGACTGGTAGCAACAGCGTTCTAGATAATACTGAACGAACCAGTTTTTTAACAAGCAATGTGCTAATGGATTATGAAATATTTATAGAACCCCATCATGCTCCCACATTTATTTTGAATGAATGAGGTCTAGTTTTGTTGAAGAACGAGTAAAAATTCAAAATATTTGCATAACATGAACTTACACATTTGGCAAAAATTAAAAAAAAATAAAAACAAACAAACATAAAACATTTACGGTTAAAAATTTCATTTTCTGGATTAATTTAATTCTGCTAATTTTTCAGATTACCGCATTTCCCACGTTTTATCACTGAAGAAGCTTATCAGTGTTTGTCAGCTAAAATTGTTCAAATCATTATTAAACAGCAAATCGAAACTCATTCTACAATTTTAATTAGCACATTTTGATATGACTTTGGATTGTTTGAAGAAGAAAAGTGAACACAACGAAATTCTACACCACAACACTCCACACTTTCACAATAAATAATTCTTTTCTAATCTACATGATAATTCATTTAACCAAGAACTTGGGTAATACTTGTAGATAAGGCAGTTGTTGCTAATTGGAAACTGAAATTTCAAACAGACGTTCAATAATAATTTTTTTATAATTAATTAAGACGCAGAGTGCACAAAAGAGTTACAAGTATTCATTTTTATGTTAACCTAACCATAACAAAATAATCGTCTATGTTTTCTTTACCTTTTTCTTGGATGAATGTTTGGAAATTTTTCTTTTTATAAATTTTCTATAAATAAACCTTACAACAAGCTTAGTTGCAAACAAAAACACTAACAACAAACTGATAATCAACGCATATACGTCCAAGTTGTGGGCGGCTATGAAGCTCATGTGAACAACAGGACTCTGAAGGTGGGGCGCACCATGATGTCGTAGGACATATTCCGTCCAGTAGAGTACGGTCTGACGGGCCGTCATGGGACGATCACGATATACCTGCGAGAATCGCTTCACATTCTCTGTGAACTGAGAATCCTCTAATACCTTAAGAATATTCTCATGGAAATGTTGTTCTTCCAATTCCAAAAGCTTCATACTCAGTCCGAAACCATCTTGCACCATTTTTTCCGCATTTACAGGTTGATCGCCGAAGACAGGAAGTGCTAACATAGGCTTGCCATGATATTGGGCCTCCGAAACACCACCCTTGCCGGCATGTGTGATGAATAGTTTGATCTTAGGATGTGCGAGAATGTCATCCTGTGGCAGCCACTTCGAGAAGAGTATATTTGATGATTTTCCAGGTGTTTTATCCAAGTTCTCCCATTTCCAAACAACGCGTTGCTTGAGTTTCGAGAGCACATTGAACATTTTTTGAACAGTTTCGGGCTTTAAATGTTCACCCTGAACATTGGAACCCAAGCTTAAGAGTATGGCATCATTCGGTGCTGTATCCAGAAACTCGGCTATATTTTTGGGCAACGGATCAGGCTGATCTTTGATATGGATTCCTCCAACTTCTATGACAGCGGGCACGTTTGGTCTGATGGGACCCTCACTGACCGCATGGGAATTAAAGAGAACCAAAGAGACGTTCTTGCCAAGATCCTCGTACCTTGGCATTTCGGGATCATCTCCAAAAATTTCACTGCAATTATGGTTGTTTATAAAATTTTCGTTTTTCCCTTCAGTTGTGAAATATCTCACGTGTAATATTCAGAATTGCGTTTCTCAATCACCATATATAAAGCTCGAAATGTTAAGCTGATGAACAAGGTCTTAACTCTGTCTGGCAACGTCATAGTCTCTCCTTGCTTCAAGGCCATATCAAAAAAAGGTACATACGAAAGTTCCCTCGGATTCCCCAATATATTCGCAAACAACTCATTTGTCGGCAAGATTGACGCGATCACCACAGGCACCTTTAACTTCTGCGCGACACCAATCTGATAGTTGTTCAAGAAGAATCCGACTATAACCAAATCAAACTTGTTGTCCTTGTTCTCATAGAGATCTTTCACGCGTGGGCTCATCATAACATTGCGCATTTTATCAAACATAAAATTCATTTGTCCCATAAGGTGAAACGCCGCTTTAATCATATTCGTATTATCTATGCTTGCTATATTGCCTAGGCTAGCTTGTCTTCCCCGTTCTTCCTCCTCAGTTAAGGGTATCATAATTACGTTAAAATTCTTGTGGGTGACTAGTGGCTTCATGACTGTCACTATCGTCACATTGTGTCCATTCTCGGCCAGCACTTTTGCCATAGACAATTCGACGATCAAGTGAGATGGACTGACACTAGTAAATAGGCCCAATATATTCGCGCTCTGTACATTTCCGATAAGCACGACCGTTAAGGCCAACACTGGAAGCAGTCCATTGTAACGAGCCATCTTGGCGGTTCGAGTTTAAAAAGTAGACTAATTTGCAAGAGACGATAGTGGGCCTTTTATAAACGTGGCTTATCATTTGCCAAATGTTATAAAAAACAGCTAATAAATATGGTCGTGGGGTGCATACATATATGAACATCATATCAACAAATTGCATTGATTAAACCGATTGGAAACCGGAATTTCTGATAATCTTTCCAAAAATAGAGATACAAGTTTCATAAACAAACACAAATTAAGATTAATAATACAATTTGGATTTAACTAGCTCAACAACTTCAACATTATCTTCAAATTGTTATTTCAAAAATATCTACATTATAAGTCCGAAGAATTTTGTAGAATCTTAAAACAAACGCTTACCAAGGTTGTTATTGGGAAATATGTTTAAGGCATAAGTTTGAAAAAAAATTTTATTTTATTGGAACTTTTGGCATAAATAACAATCGTTGCAATATAAAGCAGAGTGCACATAATAGCTATTTTTTTAAATGTAAATCTAACTATAACAATTTAATCGTTTATGTTTTCTTTACCTTTTTCTTAGATGCATTTTTTGATATTTTCTTATTTATAAATTTTCTATAAATAAACCTTATAACAAGCTTAGTTGCAAACAAAAACACTAACAACAAACTGATAATCAACGCATATACGTCCAAGTTGTGGGCGGCTATGAAGCTCATGTGGACAACAGGACTCTGAAGGTGGGGCGCACCATGATGTCGAAGGACATATTCCATCCAGTAGAGTACGGTCTGACGGGCCGTTGCGGGACGATCGCGATATAGCTGTGAGAATCGTTTAACATTCTCTGTGTACTGAGGGTCCTCTAACACCTTAAGAATATTTTCATGGAAAGGTTGTTCTTCCAATTCCAAAAGCTTCATACTAAGTCCGAAACCCTCTTGCACCATTTTATCAGCGTTTCCAGGCTGATCGCCGAAGACAGGAAGTGCTAACATAGGCTTGCCATGATATTGGGCCTCCGAAACACCACCCTTGCCGGCATGTGTGATGAATAGTTTGATCTTAGGATGTGCGAGAATGTCATCCTGTGGCAGCCACTTCGAGAAGAGTATATTTGATGATTTTCCAGGTGTTTTATCCAAGTTCTCCCATTTCCAAACAACGCGTTGCTTGAGTTTCGAGAGCACATTGAACATTTTTTGAACAGTTTCGGGCTTTAAATGTTCACCCTGAACATTGGAACCCAAGCTCAAGAGTATGGCATCATTCGGTGCTGTATCCAGAAACTCGGCTATATTTTTGGGCAACGGATCAGGATGTTCCTTGACTTGAATTCCTCCAACTTCTATGACAGCGGGCACGTTTGGTCTGATGGGACCCTCACTGATCGCATGGGAATTGCAGAACACCAGGGAAACGTTCTTGGCAAGAACACTGTAGGGTGGCATTTCGGGATCATCGCCAAAAATGTCTCTGCAATTAAGGTTGATTATAAAATGTTCGTTTTTCCCTTCAGTTGTGAAATATCTCACGTGTAATATTCAGAATTTCTTTTTTCAATCAACCAATATACGGCTTGAAATGCCAAGCTGGTAAATAAAGTCTGAATCCTTTGTGTAAAAGTCATAGTCTCTCCTTGTTTCACGGCCATATCAAAAAAGGGTACGTACGATAGTTCGCTTGGATTTCCCAACATATCTCCAAACAACGCATTTGGTGGCATGGGCGACGCGATCACCACAGGCACCTTTAACTTCTTCGCGACACCAATCTGATAGTTATTCATGAAGAATCCGACTATAACCAAATCAAACTTGTTGTCCTTGTTCTCATAGAGATCTTTTACGCGCGGATTCATCATGACATTCTTCATTATTTCAAACATAGATTTCATTTGTCCCACTACGCGAAACATCACTTTAAGTATACTCGTATTATCACTGCTAGCCATATTGGCTATGCTAGCTTTTTTTTCCCGTTCTTCCTCTTCAGTTAAGGGTATCACAATTACGTTAAAATTCTTGTGGGTGACCGGGGGCTTTATGGCCGTCACTATCGTAACATTGTGTCCATTCTCGGCCAGCACTTTTGCCATAGACAATTCGACGATTACGTGAGATGGACTAGCACTAGTAAATAGGCCCAATATATTCGCGCTCTGTACGTTTCCGATAAGCACGACCGTTAAGGCCAACACTGGAAGCAGTCCATAGTAACGAGCCATCTTGGCAGTTCGAGTTTAAAAAGTAGACTACTTTGCAAGAGACGATAGTGGGCCTTTTATACATAAATGCCTCTTATCACTTGATAAATGCTATCAAGAACCGCTACTAAGTGTGGTCTAGACATGCATATGTACATACACACTATATACGAGCAGCATATCATCAGCATATCAACAAATCGCATTTGGAAAATCCAATTATTGTGAAATAATGTTTGGTGCTCAATGCATATTTTACTTAATTTATTGTAAATATTTTCAGATATTGTATAGAATGCTTTATTCAGATCGTCAGAGTTCAATTATATTGATTATCATTTACAGAAATATTAAAGTGGAAGGCAGAAAGTTGACATTTCATGCTTAAATAATAATAGGTAGAATCTTATCAGTGGCTGGCTAGTCGCTGCGATGTGAACAGTCATCATAAGCCAACAAAACTAGTGACACGTTCCATTCTAAATTTCAGTGTATTGTCTACTTACGTAGGTCAGCCAATGACTTGAAGGTTCTCTAATCTTAAAATGGCCCTATTAGTGATTGTTGGTTTGATTTTTTAGCATTTTTCGTTCCTAGATTTTTTGTTCAAGTGCATCGACCCAAAAGTGCATATTAATCCTAGAAGAGCAAACTCGATGAGATCGATTTCTCTAGTCATGCTGATTGAGAATATACTTATAAATGCTATGGCGTCATCCTACAAGGGTCGCGAGGTACTATATGTATGCTACTGTTCCTTTACATAATATTTTTAATTAGATATAATTTTTTAATTATTGTGATAACTGATAACACACCACATTTTTAATATATCGTCAAAAAAGTTTGTCGTTTGCAGACCTGACATGGTCGGCTTCCTTTATAGTATGTGGGCCCGGCGAAGAGAAAGAAACTCCTTCGTGCTAAATTGCCTCGCGAATTGTGGCAGGCGTAGTAATTATTACATCAAGCAATATACTCCTAAGCTCCTAAATAATATAAAATCTTCAGCAGATATATACTCGTATAGAAATCAAATTTTGTTCCAGCATATTATTACTGGGAATTATTCACAGATATTCCCTTGATCAGAAGAACTGACCTATCGTAGGCGCGTGAAAAAAGTATCCTCACTAACACGAACAATCCAGAAATCATGGTATTTTTATGATCACGCAAGAATTTAATCAACATTTTGAAAATAATAGTCATACTTAGAGGTGTAAAATATACTTGTAAAAAGATTCACAATAATATGAAAACTTTCTTAGCTTACTTATAGAATGTGTTTACATCTGTAATGGACAGAAATGCACACCGTTGGAAGTATTATAAAACTTTACTTTATTTTAGTACACAAATAGTTTATGTTTTCTTTACCTTTTTCTTTGATGCATTTTTTGATATTTTCTTATTTATACATTTTCTATAAATAAACCTTATAACAAGCTTAGTTGCAAACAAAAACACTAACAACAAACTGATAATCAACGCATATACGTCCAAGTTGTGGGCGGCTATAAAGCTCATATGGACAACAGGACTCTGAAGGTGGGGAGCACCATGATGTCGAAGGACATATTCCATCCAGTAGAGTACGGTCTGACGGGCCGTTGCGGGACGATCGCGATATAGCTGTGAGAATCGTTTCACCTTCTCTGCGTACTGAGGATCCTCTAGCACCTTACGAATATTTTCATGGAAAGGTTGTTCTTCCAATTCCAAAAGCTTCATAGTCAGTCCGAAACCCTCTTTCACCATTTTTTCCGCGTTTCCATGCTGATCGCCGAAGACAGGAAGTGCTAACATAGGCTTGCCATGGTATTGAGCCTCCGAAACACCACCCTTGCCGGCATGTGTGATGAATAGTTTGATCTTAGGATGTGCGAGAATGTCATCCTGTGGCAGCCACTTCGAGAAGAGTATATTTGATGATTTCCCGGGTGTTTTATCCAAGTTCTCCCATTTCCAAACAACGCGTTGCTTGAGTTTCGAGAGCACATTGAACATTTTTTGAACAGTTTCGGGCTTTAAATGTTCACCCTGAACATTGGAACCCAAGCTTAAGAGTATGGCATCATTCGGCGCGGTATCGAGAAACTCAGCTATATTTTTGGGCAACGGATCAGGCTGATCTTTGATTTGAATTCCTCCAACTTCTATGACAGCGGGCACGTTTGGTCTGATGGGACCCTCACTGATCGCATGCGAATTAAAAAATATCAGTGATATGTTCTTGGTAAGATCCTGGTACCTGGGCATGTTGGGATCATCGCCGAAAATTTGCCTGCAATTTTAATTTCATATTCATATTTGGAATCATTTTCTTTTTAAGGTATTCCTCACTTGTAATATTTTAAATTCTGGTTTTCTAGGACAATGCTGAAAATAGAAAATCCAAAAGATGTGAGGTAGCTGGTTAAACGCTGCTTAAACGTCAGTGTCTGACCATGATCCACGGCCATATTAAAGGTTGGCACGTACGAAAGTTCGCTTGGATTGCCTACCATATGACTGAACATTTCCGATAGGGGCATGGCGGAGGTTATAACCACAGGAGTCTTCAACTTGTGCGCTATTCCAAGCTGATAGTTGTTTATGAAAAAGCCGACTATGACCAAATCGAACTTGTTGCCTTTATTCTCATAGAGATCAGTCACGATCGGACTCATTGTAATGTCTCTCGTTTTATCAAACATAAACCGCATTTGGCCTAGGGTTCGGAACATCATAGCAACTACATTCGTGTTATCATTGCTTGCCATACTGCCTATGGAGGCACTCATCTTTTTCTGATCTTCCTCAGAGAGAGGTACCCGCACAATGTTAATATCCTTGTGGGTGATCGGCGGCTTCAGCGCAGTCACCACCGTTACATTGTGTCCATTCTCGGCCAACACTTTAGCCACAGACATGTGGACGAGCAAGTGTGAGGGACTCAGGCTAGTAAATACGCCTAAAATATTCGCACATTGCCCACCGCTGATAAAAGCGGCGGTTAATGCAAGCAATATAAGCGAACAATAGCTACGAGCCATCTTGGCACTTTGATTATTTAAAGTTGACTGTTTAACGGACTGGCCGGTATTGGCCTTATATCAGGGCTACTTGTAGACAGCCGGCTGATAAGCACAATCAGCTCTGGGCTTATAAATTCAGACCTCGCTGGGCAACATATCAGCTTTGTTGCGAAATATTTCCTCTCTCAAGCATGTTTGCCTGGAAATATCATTGCTCTCCCTCTCTCTTCGCCATGGCGCTAGGCAACAATTAATAGCTTAGCGCCATATCGTGAAACTGGCGAAATATTCGAATTTCCATGCCTAGTCTGAGAGAGCTTATCAGTGCATTGCAGCGTTTATGCAAAGATTGCACAATCATCAGCACGAAACGCCAATAGCAGCTGATAAACAATATCACGCAAAGATTATCAGCCTTTTATTCTACAAATATAGTTGCTTTTTTGTTTCTGATAATACAGTATGATTATATGTACTTATATATATGTAAGTCCCAGTTTTTGATTTCACTCATTCACGCACGATTTCACTTAGCTTACGAATTTAAAATCGCGAATTCGAATTTTAGGGAATTTCGTCTACATGCTATATATTCCTTCTGATAAATATGTTTTACGTTTATTCATCTAAGACTAGCAATGAAATTTTAAATTCCAAAGCTATTTCAAAAAAATGACAAACAACAATATGAGCAACAATTAAAAAGCTTAAATATTATTAAAAATATGGGAATGAAAATGCATATGGGAATGATTCATTGGCGGATTTCCAAAAACAAACACGATTTAGCGGAACAATATATTAAATAGTGTTTGTAAAGCAGGAATATGCTCAACAAATAAATGGCCTAGAACAAGTTTGCTTAAATAATTTGGTTTTAAAAATTGTTTTCGTAAAATTATAAAACTTGTTTTTTAATACTTTTCAAATTAAAGTTAATTTTGCAAGGCGATGGCTAAGTATTTATGGCCACAATTTAACTCTTTCGAAATAAACAAAATTTATAAATAAAAATGAACTACAAATAAAACTTAAGTAAACAAAGTTGAGGGTATTATTTACTTACAAGATTCATAATAAATAAAAATTTAAATTAGACGACAAAAATAGTGAACTGTACTAAGTATATGTTAGGATTCAAGTTGGTTTTTCTTATGTTTGAAATCATTCACAAACAGCCATATTTTCAGCAATCAATCCGTCAAAATTTCCCGCAAATGACAAATAGACAGAACATCATATTCCGATAGTTTCCGTGTTTAATTCCTAACTGTGCTCCCCCTTTTCAATTAAGTTATATGTATGACTTCAGCTGTTTCTAATAAACTTGTCCACATCACTATTCCATTCCTCAAAGAGAAAAAATAATGGCTCATTTATATGATTATCGCACTAACTACTCTCATAAGTCGGGTTATATGGAAAAAAGCAGCATTCAGTATATTCATTTGGTTCTCGCAGCGATGACAAACGGTTCAAATTCGTTGTCGCACTCATTTGTTTTTCATATCGTGACCTTTCTTTTCTCTATAGCGAAGAATTTCCAGTTGTTTAGAGTAAGCTTCGATTCGGCAACTAGAAAGTTGAAGCGTCGCGAATATCGGTACAACACACACATTATTACCAAGGTTTTTAAATTAGTAATTCATTTACTGCCAATTGTTTTCCTTGTATTCGAATGGAATTATTCCGATGAGTGCAACCTTTTGTCGTTGGCAATAGAAATAGTGCAGCTATACGTAATCGCCCGCTGCTTCTGGACTGCACATAGCAGATTCTTTAGCGAACACCTAATTCGCTGTTACCAGAGCTTTGCGGAAATGTACACAGAGTACAAATCATTGCTGGCAGGTTTTGGGAACACACTCCTAATATTGGGACTGCAGTTGATTCTCTACGTGCTGGCTTTCTTCTACGAAACCTATAGCTACAGGTTCACAGATCTGTCTTGGCTCTGCTTAAACTATGTGGAATACTTTGGCTTGCTGTACATAATAGAACATCTGTTTCTGGTACAACTCTGTGGCCATTACCAACAACTCATTAAGAGTGTCAAATCGAACCCGTTCTCCAAGCGATACTATCTCTCAGTTATTTGTATATTGCAACGTATCCATAGCTTGCAGCTTTTGCAGTCGGAAATATCAAAGGGCATGCAATGGTTCGTCCTGGTCTTGCTATTACAACTCATAATGGCAATCGGTATTCTAGTACAGCCATCTTGGTATACGACATGGTATGATTTAAGCCTGTGGTTTCTACTGGAAATAGTGGGTCTACATCTGCTTCTGCTGCTTCTATGCGAGCTTTCTAAGCGTTTACAACGGGCTGGCAACAATGTTTTTGAGGAACTGTGCGGCATGACCGGCTACATTAGATGCGATGGTAACGTTGAGTTGAAAAATATTCGACTCTACAGATCATGTCATAAAATGGTACGTACAGTTTTTATAGCCTGTACCCAAAGGGTGAAAGGCTATACTAGTTTTGTGCGCATGTATGTAACACACAGAAGGAGGCGTGGCAGACCCCACAAAGTATATATATTCTTGATCAGGATGAGAAGCCGAGTCGATATAGCCTTGTCCGTCCGTCCGTCTGTCCGTCTGTCCGTCTGTCCGTCTGTCCGTATGAACGCAAGGATCTCAGAAAGTATAAGAGCTAGAATAACCAAACTTGGTTTCCATATTCTCCTAAGACCGAGAAAGTACGAGTTTGAGTTTTTTTTCGATGCACCCCCCCACTCCCCCGCAATTCGTGTTTTTTCTTATAACTTCCGTAATTCTCGGAATTTTGAAATCAATTTTGGTAGGTACATCCAGTTAGTACTAATGTGTCCGTGTGCCAAATTTCATCATGATAGGTCAATTCTGAAGAAAGTTATAGCCATAAGTAAAATCGCTGCTCATGCGCTGCCTCTGTCGGCAGCGCTGCCCGCAGCTGTTGTTGTTGTTGCTGCTTTGGTTCAACTTTGTGCTGCATACATACACGCATATAAACACGCATAGGTACGTGATGTAAATGTATGCTGTTAAAACTAAACATAAACATATATTCTAATTTAATTTAATTAATTAATTCATTAATTTTTTTTAATAATTTAATTTTTTTTTTAAATTTTTTTTTTTTAATTTTTCTTTTTTTGTGGAGAGTACAGGCTATTTTACTGTCGGGCTTGCTCGACTGTAGCGTTCTATCTTGTTATATTTTATGTTTTTAATAATTTCGCATTATCCAATCTTTTTTTCACGTGTACAGATGTTGATCCACATTAACTTTAGGACAATAGTTGGAGCCGATATACATTTCTACGGTTTGAAGTGTGACTATGGAATGATATTTGGACTATTCGCACATTTGCATTATACGCTTTTCATATGTTACCTGTTTAAGGCTTTCTAGTAAATTTAAGTAGGTTTAAAGATTAATATTACTTTCAAAATAAATATATGTTGCTAGAAGATAAAGACGTTTTTATACCCTATACACGTAGGAAGCATCTCCGACCGCATAAAGTATACATATATATTCTGAATCAGCATGACGAGAGAAATCGATCTAGTTCGTCCGTCCGTCTGGATGAACCCAAGGATCTCAGAAACTATAAAAGCTGGAATAACCAAAGTTGGTATCCAGATTCTCCTAGGTCCGAGAAAGGACGAGTTTATTTTATTTTTTTGGATTTGCAGAATTTTTGTTTTCAGATATGTCCCTGTGTCGACATGTCCTTCTGTCTCGTAGAATCTTTATGAAACTATATTAAATAAAATATTTAAGCAACTCTCTCTTTTTCCAACATTTTCACTTGGCACCTGGCACATTTTTTCAATCTTCAAAGTGTTGTACAGGGCGATAAGTTCAAGCAGTTTTCCTGCACTCCTTAAAAAGCTATAGCACTCAAAATATATGTCATATTTTTGATTTCCAATATAAATATTACTCGCATACACCAGGGCAAATCTGTATCTAAGATGGATGGTCGATTGGTTGAAGTGGCGAACCCCTCAACAGGACCTCCCCGCGTGCAGCCCCATACCAATATGCTTGCGAAGGCGTTAAACATTTTGTACAGGCGCTACAACCAGGAACAACTACGTTACATGGGGCAAGTCTACAACGCCTTGCTGTGCACCAATCTGGCCTGCGCCTTGGGCATGTGGATGCAGTGGCGCAAGCTCTGTCAGCTCAATCTCAGCTTCGCCATGTTCATGACATCGGTGAGCATCATACTGACCTACTACCACGTGCTCATGGGCTCACCAGCCTGGAATTATTTGCTCCTCATGGGCTTCGTTTCGGGCTTTGTGCTGGAGGTCTACGCTCGTCTGGCCTTTCAAGCTGTGGGCATGCTTACTTGGCGACTGCTGATCAGTGGCACCTTTTGCTTTGAATTACTTATTCTATCGGCGCTCTTTGCGCCGCTGGAGCCGCATCCCTCACGCACCACCACGCGCTGGCTGTGGCGCATACACTTGAGTCTGTTCGCCGTTAGCATCTTGAATGGCTACATACGCAGTAGGGGGCTCAAGTTCTTGCTCGTGGCCTCGCATTTGGCGTCCGCCTATCTGACCGTGCCCTACGACACCAAGAGCCTCCTCCGTCATATGATGCACGGAAACCTCAATGTGGTGCTCAGCGCATTGATCCTGTTCATGAATCTATTCGGTCTTATGCGGGACATTCTGCTGCTGACGGCCATGAAGAATACCTACTCACAGGAGAAACGCGTCGATGTCCCTGGCAATGCCTTGCTCCCCAACACTGTTTTAGTTTCATAAAAATAAACCCAAGTTGTTTTCGTTTTGTTCAAGTAAACTGGTTTATTGACAAGCAATAGATTACATGTCGAAACGACTCATCGTGCAGCTTTTCATCATTCGATTGTCTCGCTATTAACCCTTTGCCCTTCAACCCTTCCATATTGGCAACCACCACTAACTAATGGTCACTATGCGTGTATGGAAGGCGAGCATAGAACGGACAGACCTC